AACAAGAGATCAAATCAGTGCCATGAGTTATGTTCATTCTGTAATCTGATAAGAAATAGAGTGAGCCTCTAATAAAAGAGTAATGAGAGCCCTTAATGATGCTGTTAAAAGGTAGCGCCAGTTAAAATATTGCTGTTGTTCCAGCTGATTAGATCACTGTTGCATATTTGCACAATCTTGTTTTACCTGTCAGAATAACCTGAGTCCTCCTGGGAGATAAAGGTGTTTGGACCAAACATCTGCGTCCTTAAAGGGTGCCTCACCTGCAAGTTACTGTCCTCCAGAAGTGAAATCATGATGCTCACCTGACTTAGCAGTAATTTGATATTACACTTTTTAAAGTGTCTGTGTTTAGTCTCTGTTTCACACACAGGTACACTGCAGAGATCTGAGGATCTATGTATCAAAGCTGACAGAGAGGCAGAACAAAACCAAAACCCACACACAGCTCATCCCAGGAAGAGAGACTTTACCTGACCTTGCCACAACCAGGCTGCTCACAGGGTGCACTCCTGCAGATGCAGCAGCTGTGTGTGTGCTGAAAAGATGCTCTATGTGGGCCTTCAGCTTGAACACAGAGAAATACACCTACCCAGCACAGGAGCTGTGAATGCACAGGTATCTGAGCCCCTGAAAACACGAGGCTGCTCCAAGCTGGGCCAGCTGAAGGCTCACAAGATCCCGTTTAACTACAGCTCTAGCCCAGACCCGCCGTGTCACCTTTGGCAAGTCACTGAGGCTCTTGACTCATGGATTTCTGGACCCAAATACCTTTGGAGATACGGGCTGTGATTGATCTGTGCTGCATTTCCCAAAGGGTAAACCAGAAAAGGCTGGAATCTTCCCAACTCTGCTGCACACGGTGATACTGAAGGATGACTGTGTTAAAGATTACACCAGACCTTGGAGCAATGGGATCAGTGAAGTACCACAGGTCATGAAGATGGGACAAAAAGGATTTCAAGGGAAGCCACCCTCAAACTCAGGTGAAATCACCACCAAAGAGAGATGAACTCTGTTCTAATCCTGGGTAATTCCTGCCCAAGACACCAGCCCTCTCCTCTGGACAATCACCACAGTGCACTTACACTCAAGCCTTTGCCTCCAGCTTCCTTGTCTTAAGGTAGGTCCATTTACATGGTGATGACCTTGGCCCAATTACAAAAACCTGGGCCCAAGAGCACAATAACTGTATTTAAGTCTATAAACACATACCCTGAGATAACCATAAAAATCACTTCCCAGTGCAGGTTTTAAAATACTACCAAAGAGGGGTTAAAACAGAGGAGGGCTCGAGGCCACCAGTGTCCCACACATTACAACATAATATATGTGAGCACAAGGTTAAACAGCCATGCCCATGTGTAGGGTGCATGAAAAACTGGCAAGTGGAAGATTAATTGCCTGCACAAATGCTATTATTCCAACCAGCAGCAAGAATAAGAAAGAATGTGGCAGTGATGTTGACAAAGGCAGTTATTATACGTGGACATTTCCCTTCTCAAATTCAGGCTGTAAAACAATTCTGGAGTGACTGCTCATCCTCTTCTCCATGCAGTGCTCAGGCTGCTTCTCCTCACACGTATCTGTTCTTTGTTTCTCCAGCCAGCAGCAGTGTGAAATGACAAACTTGATGTGCCAGATCCTGGGTATCCCACATGCAGCAAGCAAAGCAAGACAACAGTCTCAGACAACTCCCTTCTGCTTCTGCCCCAGTGACAAAGGGCTTGTGCATTCATCAGGAGGTGTGAGGACTTCGCACAGCCAACGAAGAACCAGAATGACACCACTCTGTGCCACATAGCTTCTGCCCACCCACATCTGCATTGGCATTTACTGGCACTTCCCAGGAATCTACCTTCATTCAAAGGAAATGTTCTGCCAGCTCTGTTTTCTACAGCCCTTTTCTATATGTAGCTCACCGACACACTAAAACTCCTCATACCACAACAGAGAACCCCGCTGTTCAGATGTGTATGTGTTTTGGGGTCGTGCTTTTACAATGCCTGACCAGAAAAAGAAAGGAAATGGCTCAGAGCATGATCACATCCTGTGAAGTGTATACCTGCATTTTCAATCTAGTAATTCACACTTGCAAACAATAAAATTACCTTTTTCTCTCACAAAGGAAGCTGTTCTCATTAATGCTTCCCTCTCATGCGTACAGGCCTTGTCCTTTCTTTTTAATTCACTTGCACTTTAAAGCAGATGTTGTATTCTTCTTGCCTTGTCTATACATTGTGTGCTGCTACAAAGGTATTATGGCCCATGGCAAGTGCAGAGGCATTTTAAACAGAGATGTGAAGTGACCCCTAGAGAGTGGCTGTGATTTAAAAAATGAGTGATAGCTGCACGTGTCTTCATTTTGGGAGAGCTGAACCAAACACCTACAGAGGGCTCATTTCAGACACTGGCCACTCCAGGACTTTGAGTATGTTTTATGTCTGGATGGAAACACAAACGGTGTAAAGCAGGGAGGAAAGGAAAGAAACTAAAGTTAAGTAACACCTAGGTTTTCCCTGTGCAGAGCAAGAATGCCCAAATGTGGAAGTGCTGCTGCAAAGAGGAGGCAAGAATCTGTTCCTAACAGACCCAAATTACAGCAGAGGGAAATTTAAGCTCAACATTAGTACTAAACATGCTAAAGCACATCATGTAGGGAGGAAGCTGCAGAGAAACTGTGTAAGGAAGACTGCAAAGGCTGCAATAGCAAAGGTAAGGCATGCTCTTTGTGTTACAGGTAAGCAGCAGGCATTTGGGCACACAGCGAGGGAAGCTTAGGCTTCTATTTGTGTATCTAAAACTAAAGCTTTCCTACATAGGTTAAAAACTTAAATACTCCTAATACTAAATGACTGATTTTGACAGGCACTTCCCAACAGCAGAGCTCTGCTGCACAGAAGAGGGATCAGAGCCCCAGACACACGGAGTGACCTGCTCAAGGTCATCCACGAAGCCACTGTCAGAACTAGAAACAGAACCTGCCCGCTTGATTCCAGCATTACCCCTTCCGGGTCCAGGGTTTGCTTGAAAACCTGATCTTGGCAGAAGGGGACACAGCTGCCCACAGGATGCGACCCTCAGGCACACTCGCTGGTGTGAGAACACATCAATTGACAGTCTCGCTGCAGCTGGATAAACCAGCATCAGGAGATGAGTGATTGAAATGCCATTAAGAGGAAGTATGGCGGGCCTCCAAAGTGGCTAATAAACTTAATGTAAGAACTAAGTTCCTGCAGTCAGACAATAAGCAGCAGCAGCTGCTGCCACCAAAGACTCTGTAAAGCATGCAAGCGCTGTAATAACCCGCTCGACGTGGAGAGAACCCCCAGGAGACATTTTCAGTAAACCAAATGTCAACCACTCTGTCCCTACCACAATGATAACTGTGTCGACACAGCAGAACGTAGATGGCATCCTATTAGCTGTAATAGCTTCTGAGGGTCAGGCAGGCTTCGTGCGGTTCGTGGTGGACTCAAGGTGCCTCCTGAGAGGAGTTAAGATAAGGGTTATGAAGATGGCAGGCAGATGAAGTGTAGCTGAGGCCCAAGGAGGCTGTTGTGCACAACAACTCCACCATCCCAGCTGCTTCGATGCACTTCACGTTTGCTGGAGGATTCTGGCTTACAGAATGCATTTTCTATGCAACTTTTGGATCACAAGTGAATGCAGTGGACTGTGAAGGAGCAGGCAATGTCACCTCTGGGGACAGCAAACATGGTGTAACTACTACATTATTAGGATCAGTCTCACTGGGGGTTTTTCACCTTCCTCCCCCCCCCCCCGTGTTCACCCCATTACAAGCTAAGTGTGCCTTCATTCTGGGGTCAGAGCTACCTGCTTAATCTGCAGGACAGTGCGATATATAGTGTACACAGTGTGTCTAATCTCACAGGGCTCAAGCCACTTTCGTCCCTCTCTTCCTATATTCCAGGTAAGAGAGTGGAAAAACTGACCACTTTAAATGGCTGGAGGCACAGCTTTCACCCCATACATGCACCACATTTATTTTCATGGCAAGAGGATTTAGACACTATTCAGGAATCAGAGCAGTTTTCTCACTTGAAAAAAATCAGAATAAAGAACTATGAGAAAGATTCATGATGAAACAGCACAGGTCATATTATGACCATAAAACATCTTAGTGCCAGCTTACTGGAGAGCTCTCATCCAGAAGCCTGTGCAATACCCCAAAAGGCAACAGCCTAAAACCAGCAGGTATGTGATTGTCATTTCACAAACAGACAGATGACATCTCTCTCTCTCACAAAGCACAAACATGTTCTGCAACCCAGGGGAAAGATGTTTCTCAAGCTTTCCACATCCATTCACTGGAAAAATTATCCCACCTCCTTCCCACAAAACGCTTGGCATTTCCAGCTTTAGTCTAAAAATGTAATACCAAGGAAAAATGGGTGTAGATGCAGAAAAGCTACCTAGTAACCATGCACAAAACTTCATTGATATTTGCTTCACTAATGAGCACATTAAAACAGTACAGTCTTCCAATAAAATTCCTTGCTCTTTAAACAGACACAAACATAAGCAACATTTAGGTCTTGAGTGTTTCTTGACTGAGCTATTCCAGTCATTAACTGCTCTAAGGAAACGCATACTAAACACATCTAAACCAGTTGCCATTTCTGTTAGAAGACAAGTTATCTGTAAGTTTTGGTTATACCTGAAGAGATCATATAACCTAGTTGTCTGTTTCCAAAATAATTCCCCAAAATGAGATTTCCAAATCAGAGGAGTTTTAAACCAGGAATCAAAACGTAGCTACTGAGATTTATGGAAAGTTCTTGTTTGGTGTCATGGTAATTACAGAGTGAAAGCTCAGCCAGAATGCCTGGGCAGATGTGACCAAGACACCCAGGCTATGATGCCAGTGACAAATGGTTAACTGATAAGAAGAAATGGAGGGGGCGACAGACTGAAGAACAGGTCAATATCATGCTGTCATGAAGCCATTTGAGAAACGTAATTAATCTATTACTCACCTGGCATCATCATTCATTGTACAGTGGTCAATAGGTGCCATGAAGCTCACCAGCTTGCTATGGACATGATACCTGAATAGTGCAGGAAATAAGCAGACAGCACATTAGTAACTATTAATGAAAAGGAAGTGTTGCTGCTTGAATAGAAACATACCAGCCCCTGAGATGCAAAGCACTGGCTTTCCTGGTGGCTGGTATCTAATGAGTCAGTAGTTGTAACTGGCAATTCCCCCTCCTTTTCCTCCTCTTCCTGTCTTATAACACGGACACAAGAACAATCAGATGATACAATGAACTGAATGGCAAACAAATCCTTTTTTATCACAGCCAGAAAGAGGACAGACAGCATCCATTAATTGTGTGCAAGTACCTAATCAGGCTCCCAAACAGACAACCCTGAAAACTCAAGAGACAAAGAAACAAGAACTCATTTTCAGCCTTCCCTTCAGCTGGCATCTTAATCACCTTCTGGAGTTTGTGCCCAAAGAGCCCACTGCGGGCAGCAGAAGCAACAGAGCATCAGATCTTCTTGAGCATCCATCTGCTATCACTTTCTTCCTTGCTCTGTGGTATCTAAGGCCTTAACGGATATCAAAAGCCTACCCTGTGAGCCATACCCGCAGCTGGGAAGTCTTACCCTAATAACTTCTAAATGGAGCACATAAAAGAAGCAAAGGAGAAAGACCTGCGCAAAGAAGAGATGTGAGACAGTGCTGCATCTGTCTCCACTCCTGATCCACCAAACCATTTTTGCAAGCTGTATCGCGCCTTCAGATACTGGCTCCCCTTCCTGCTCCCAACTCTGGGCTAGGAAAGGAACCTGCAGTGTTTTCATGACTTAAATTTTATGCCAAGTCCTTGAATGTAAGTCATGAAAACACTGCAGAGGACTGAAAAAATTCAGAATGAAAAGGTGGCTTTAAGCCCTGGTGTGTACAGGCAGGGGATTCCAAACCAGTGTCTTGTGGTGTACTCTACAATGCTGCCCACCCAGGTCTGAAATGTTTTATCCAAGCTCCTGCTATTTTTAGAGCTTGACAAATAGCAGGCAAAAGGATTCACAAGCATTTGCCCAGAATCACCTTTCCACTCTGCCACCTTTGCACTCCCTTCTGTTTGCTTATGCAGGAACATCCCCTCGAGGGGATTTTTAGCTCACAAGACTATTTCAGAATGGCTCTTCAGGCACAGCACACACTCACCCTTACACAAGGGCTTCTCTGCACAATCAAGTCTTTGTCACTGTTAATGGAGGGAACTGCCCTGGTCTGACTGTGATGGTGGAGTCAGGGGACAGACATGGCTGTGGAGGGCCAGTTCTGAAACAAACCCCAGGTCAACAGGCTGGACTATCAAATAGTTTGCTTATGAGACATTATCAAGTGATGGGTTCATAGAGATCAACGCTTATACAGGGACAGCAGAGTGGCAGAGGGACCTGGCAGCTCAGATGAATTCTCTGACATGAGTTTGTCTGCCCAGAACTCATTAATGGCACGTTTCTTTAAATGAGCACTTTACACACCCCAGTCGAGCAGATCTAAACTATTTCATTCAAAGGAAGACATCCCATGTGGCAGCAGCACAGGACCAGGAATCACTGACATGAAAAACAGGGTGCACATATCACTCCTTCATGTCTGCTGCAAGAAAAGGTGAGTCCTAGCGAGGGACAGCAGAGTTCCAGGCACTAGGTTTCCTAAGCTCAACTGGAGTTTTTAGATGAGCTCACTTCCCCTCTTAGTACCCCAGTTTCCCTGTACATGGAGGGGACAGGTACTCATGGCAAGTGGAAGATCAGCTGCTTTTCAAAGCATTTGAAGATCTTCAGACCCTAATAAATTAGCACATCTCATCCAAACATGCTCTAATATTGAAGGTTTGCTAAAGGACTGCTTTATTTGCCAAACAGAAAGAATTATGAAGGAAGAAACAAAAAGGAAGAATTATGGAGACAGAGGAAACTTAGTATTAATACTTTGCTCTCCGGGATCTCCAAGCCCTTCATGAAACCAAACCTAGACACTGCTGCTTCAGTTTTAGTTGAAGGGAAAGGAAGAACAGAGGGTAAGTGATCTGCTTGGGGTGACACGGAGTCTCTCAGTGGAAGAACCAACTTTGGGCTCCAGTGGACTATACTGAAGAGATGCTGGAGTTAACTGCATGTTAATCCAAAACACAGACAATGGCACTTTTTTCTGTTATTGATATTTTCCCTGCAGGGTCAGTGCAACTTTTATTTAAAGAGGCAAAAAAAAAAGGCCCCTAAGATCTAAGAGGCAATTGACTTGGCCAGAGAGCCATCTCTCAGGAATGCTGAAGCACACAGATTGCACACAATGAGAGACTTCCCCATTATTCCTGGAGGTTTATGAGTCTGACTCAGTTGTGTGATGTTGTCAGTAGTTTTGACTGAATCATGAATATATCCAATTATGTGTGATGCTGACAGAAAAGAATATTGATAGTCAATAATTATAGGCTTTTCAGGCCAACAAAGTAGCTCTTCCCTCTTTCAATAAATTATCTTATGACATCTATCTTAAAAATTGCTATGCCAGGCCTGACCCAGACTGACTCCACTGACTTTCTATCAGATGCCATCTAAACTCAGGATTTATAGTTTACTCACAAAAGGATGGTTAATGTTGCGGGTTTTGCAGGAAGCGGTGCAGCTTTGCTGCTGCCTCCCTGCCACTGACACCTCTTCCACCACAAATCATGCAGTCATGCTAAACTCAGGGAGACTCATGTATCTGCTCTGCAAAGACGGGAAAAAAGCCCAACCTATCCTTTCCAGGCTGCTTCCCTTCCCACCCTACCACATGGAAGAGTCTTCCACTGGAAACATAAGGGGAGAGTTCAACCCAAATGAGTGATCCAGGAGTCAGGATGTGAACTAAGCTGAAGCTAAAGAAAGCTGTGATGTGACTTAAGACATTAAAGAGAAATTAGTCACCAAATTCCAGCCGACAGTCAGTGGAAAAGAGGCATCTACCTCACCGAGGTGTTTCGATACATCTTCCCCTAGAGCTGCTACCCACATTTCAATCAGCTAAATATATATTGCACTAGAGGTGTTTATTGGCTTTCATTGGCAATTACGGCCCCAAATCACTTGGGGACATTTCAACACCTCTGTCCAGTGTTTTCTGAGACCAGTGAACGCTCTTGCCAAGACTAATCTGGGCAATGCTCACAAGCTGCATCCAACCAAGCCCTTATTCTAGGCTCAAAGAGCATTAAGATGTCCCAGTGGATATCCCAGAGCATGACATCTTGCCCCTAAAAGGCATGAAGAAGCCTCCCAGTGCACCCCAGAGCCAACCCAGTGCAGTCAGACTTTATGTGGCAAAATCAGAACTGTTTGCTTGCAAAAGCTGGCACCCACCTGATTCTCCTCCCTTTACTGGCTTTTCTGTCCACTTTCTTCTTTATTTTGCTTCGTAACTTCTGGATGGCCAGCCACTGCCTGCAGAATGCAAAAGGACACTTACACAACTAAAGAGCCACGAGGAAAATGAGCATTAGGTACCGTGGGGTCTGAGGCCCTTCCCAGCCCAGCTGCCTATTGCATTTACACAAGTGAAAGAGATCAGAACCTCAGGAAAACAAGTGTGAAACTCCAAATGCCTGCGAAGCTGCTTCACTCCACAGACAGGGCATTTAAACAACGTGCCAAAAAAAGGCAGTAACACTCTGAGAAAGTGCTGTCTGATCCCTGCCTATATTGAGAAGGGAAAGCCCAACTTCTCAGACAGAACTTCATTAAACCAAAGAAGTTTTCAGCAGGGACAAACTTCTACCAGTTATAAATATTTCTTCACAGGAAAGAGCATCATTTTACCTGATTTATACAATGAAAACTCGACATCAGGGGAAAAAATCTAGCAAAATCCAATTACTGCAATCTTAATATAATCTTAATTACTGTAATCTATTTTATTGTAAAGTCAGATAAATGTACAATGTAATCACCACTTAAATGTAATTTTGTCTATATCATGTTAAATTATAGTGAAGAGCTTTCCATAATATTCCAGACATACACAAAATAAATTTGACACATTGCACTAAAATTTGGGTAATATTTCACAAGGATAAAAGTTATTTCACCATCACAAAATTTCCTAATGCATTTTCTTCCCCTCCCTATACATATACCCCATAGCACTTTTGTAGTGGAGAGCCCTACTCCAGCCTTCCTCTGCTTTTCTACTACTCTAAATTAAAGCCCACAGCTATTTCAAATGTACCCTGTTCATTAAGAGGTATTTGGAAGATTCTTTTCTAACTATAGAATTTAACAGAAATAAGAGTTTCCCTGCACGGAATTGTATTTACTTCTGCATCCAGGAAACATTCCCTGATATTGTTTTAACTGGATAGTATCTTTTCTTACAGCAGGGAGAGAGCATACACAGGAATTGCTTTAACTGAGCTCGTGACAGCAGGTTTGCTCCTCTAAAACAATGACAAGTGAGAGCTTGTAATGAGAACAGGCCAAATATCAGCAGCAGGCAGTCACTTTGTCTAGTTCCCCCTCACTAGGGTGGGTTAAGACACCCCTCTATGGATCCCATTTGTACTGCATGAACCACTGAGAGACAGAAATACCCAATGTCTGGAACAAGCCTTTTACAACTGGAATTATCTTCAGGGGATCACAGAGAAACCAGGGCACAGCTCAAAGTCTGGCAAACTTGGAGTCACTGTGATCCATAACTCAGGAATCTGTTACAGAGGATGACTTTCCTGACTGATGTCATACTGGTTTAATTATTTGTTATGCAGTTTCTTACGCCCAGATGATGCTTTCTACAGCCATTCCAAATGTGACCCTCTACAATGAATAGGACTAGAAACTCACAAGTAGTTCTGGACTGGAATGCAGAGCTGGGGTGAAGCTACTGATGTTACAGACAACTTGCTACTTACCTGCCCATCGCCACCTGGTCATTGGGGTCCAGTGAAGTGGTTTTACGTTCTATGAATTCTCGAAGGAGCTGGAAGAAAGACAACAATCCCATTGAAAAGCACAGAAAAGACATGTTAATGCCAAGAGGCTCACAGGTTTCTCAAAACACCTGGATGCTTCATTTCTTGAAACGTTTCCTCTGCATGAAAAAGCTGATGGTGATGTTAAAAGTTTAGGTTACTGCAGATCATCACCCTCATCCAAAAAGGTCCCCACAGCATGTATGACTGAAGCATAACACCAAAGGCCACTACAAAGAGTTTCTGCATATAATTTCAGATGGATATAGGAGTAGTACAGAGTCGAGTCCCTGGGGGTCACTGCAAAGCTTCCCCTGGGGCTGTCAGATGGTCGAGCCGTTGGGTAACTGCTAGTCCCAGGAGCCCAGAGCAAAGTGCACAATCCCACAGAGGGCAAACGGGAGATAAGCTTGGAGGGATGTGAGCAGCTGAGCCTCAGCTTGTGTTTTCAAGGCTGGTGCTGTTCCTTGGGCTTTGGAAGAATTAAACAGACCTAAAAGTTCACAATCTGTTGTGTATACAACTCTCATGGGCAAGAGATACAAGGCAGGCAGATCTGCAGCAAGACCTCTGCCCCACACTTTGAGTAGGGAGGGCAGGGGGGAAGTGAAACACTTCACCAGACAGAAGTCAAGCATTTCTGGGCAGTAATGCTCGCTCCAAGGAACGCCACAGCAAAATAACTTTTATAGCTGGAGCAGGAACACTCAAGCAGACTCTTCTATTTCTTTTCATGTCCTGAGGGTTGGGGTTTGTATTTTTTGCTTCCTGCAGCCAAAGAATATTGTGAACAGTCTTTTTGGATACTTGACCGGTGCTGTATGTTTATCACCACTCACTGTAAATTGTACGTGCTGTGCCTTGGGTATCAGCCAACATATTAACACAGAGAACAGAAATAAACCTTCCAAAACCAAGAGGCACAGACTGCTTTATCGAGGCTGACATTTCACTGACGATGGAAGTTACTGCCGCAGCTCAGAACCCAAAACAGAGCCTCCTGCAAACCACAGTCCAGGCAATTCCACATTAATGCTAGACAAGAACAGAGGAAAAGTGTTTTTCCTCCACCCTATGCTGCTTCATTGAGCACAGCTGAGGCCAAAAGCTGTCCCAGGCTCATTGCTGCATGAGAAACTCACTGACTCCTGTGGTTTCTGATCACTTAAGTACTACTGAAGTAAGAAAGAGAAAAGGTCTGCACCCCCCAGAAGAAAATTGCCATAAAGGTAGATGGGTATCACTTTAGGAGACTGTATTTATTATACCTGTCCACATCTTTCCTCTTCTTCATGGCACATATCATATTACCAGAAAAAGAGGGATTCAATCATAACTAAAAACCTGATATGACTGTTTCTAGTTGCTTATTTTTTGAGATTCTGACTGCAGCAATTACATTTAAACACCCCAGGAAGAGAGGCCACTGGTTTATTATCACTAGAAAACAGCAAGCTACTTCTCTGCCCTGTTTATCTGACTGATTCCCAACATCTTTCTGGCACACAATCTATCAGTTTATCTCTCCCACTTCATCACAGTCACTCCTGGCAGCTAAATACAAGATCCAAATCCAGTGTTACACAGACATACGACACAGTAAACCTGTGTAACACCACCACTCTGTAAACAGCTGCCCTTAAGGCTAAGCAGAAATGGGATCTTGGTTCCTAGTCAATATTCTGTCAAAAGCAAGGTGGGAGGGAGGGTTTTAACAGCGGCAAGAAATGGTGCAGCAGGAGTTTAGTGGTTTCTTCCTGTACCAGCAATACAGTGTGTTTACTGCCCCCTGTTATCTTGCTTCCTTGGCACAATGCACTGCAAAACCCACTGAGCAGTAACAGCAGAGACTAAGGCATGAGAAGACAGTGCACAGACATCCTACGCTCTGACAGAATGAAGCAGCAAGGCATTTTCAGCAGGACTTGGACCCACCAAACCCAGAGCTGGGTAGACTAAGGAGTGCTGCCATGATCTTACAGCTATGGTCACATTGCTTAGAACAAGATGCATTTTTAGGGCAGGTTCCTCGTGCTGTACCTGGGAAGGGGGCAGCATCCTGTTGAACAGGATCATTCTCCTTTTGCCATGGCAGTGTTCCCCATGATGGATCGGAAGGACATAGAGCTGACCTATGCCCTGCTTAGCAGGGATCCCTATTTGCTGGAGGGCATATCCTCTTCTCCATTCACAGAATTAGAAGGGAAAAGCTTTGTGCAGCAGTAGGAGACTGAGCCCTGCACACAGTGGTCCTCTCTGCCCTAACCAGACCACCAGTCCATCAGCCATTAGCTGAGGCAGTTTGGTTGACCTTGGTGCTGACAGCGAAGTGTCCCTTCAGCACAGCATCAACTGCAGGACTGGGGATGCTGCTGGGGAGAGGAGAGAGAGGCAAAGAGGATGGGGGGTAAATGAAATAAAGCAGGAACCAGAGGGAAATTAGGAAGCAGAAATAAAAGCTGCAAAGCATCTTACTACATCTAAATAGCATATGTCTTAAAGCTAAAGTTATAAATCATGCTAACAATGGTTACTAACATAAAAGTGGATGTAGCCAGAGGCTACCACTGAAAAAGTCAGTCTAGACCTGCCTCGCTGCCTTTGGTCTTTAAGGATTTGATTAGTTTTTCCACTTTCTAGCGGAGTCTTGCATTCAGCCCATGCTCCAGAGCCAGCTCGGGCTCAGGATACAGAGGGAATGATAAATTCATTTACTGAATAAAGCAACACTGTTTTCACAGCACAAGACTTAAAACCCTTCCGAAGTGGTAATATTTCATTAAGCTTGGCGATTCTGGTTAAAATTTATTAGTCAAAACGGAAAACTCTCATCAGACCCCATATATTCCATTAGGAGTGATATATGGTGTCTCCCAATGTCTAATTATTAACTAGGAAGTGTAAGTAAATCACTATCAGCATTAAGCCCTGATGTGTGAAGACAAGAGTTTGAGTTAGGCAATTCCAGCATCAAAAGCTTTGATTTGAAACGTATCCTTCTTGCTTTCTCCTCTTCACATCTTCCCTGAACTTCAAAAGCCTTAAGCTCAGTCTCCCATGTAAGCAAACACAACCGCCTACTGCAATGAAGTGCAAGCACATCCAGCAGCCTGCAGCTCAACTCCAAGCTGCTCCTACCAAAAGCTGGAAGCAGGAAGACAAACCATGTGCGGAGTGGACAATGGTAAGCAGAAGAAAGTTGTTAATGTGAGTTGATTTGTCTTTGGAACGAAGCGCCGATGACAAGAGTGCTCCTGCACGCGCATTTCTGAACTCAACAAAGCTTTGCTGTTAAACCCAACCCAACCAGACTCCAAAACCAGGGACTACCAACCACGTGAGCAGAGGAAAGCACACAGTGATTGTGTGGTTTGCCAAGGACCACAAGCCATGTATGAGGAGGGCTGGGAGCAGATGGGGAGAGCTTTAAATCTGCTGCACTAGCAGAGATCAAGGCAGTGCTCCCACAAAACATGTCCAAAGGTGAGAGCTCCAGCAGTGGTTAGTGCTCACCCACCTCTGCTGACACCAAAGGCACTGTTAAATTGACACTAGGGCCCATGATGGGTGCATTTCTAAAGAATTCACCTTAGAAGGACTCCCTGTCTGTGCTGGTTAAAGAGATGCACACAAAGTACATTGTACAAAATTAAAGGGATTTAGAAATGCCATCAGGGTGTTGTTCAAGGGTAATAGAGATTCATTTCTCATTTTAGAGGTCAATTTTCATCTTGGAGGTTAGGTCTCATTTTCATGCACTATCTATCAGTGTTTCTAATAGTACAGTTGCTGACCTTTCTGATTTGCAGACCCCTAAGAATTTCCAGTTGAGACAAAGAGCTAAATATAGCTGAAATAAGCCTGGTGACAAAAGACTCCCTCTTCTTAGACCTTACAGATCAATTCAGATTAAAACCTCACAAAAGTTCATCTATAGTGTATCACAGGAAACAGTCGAGTTTACAAAGCTTAGGAATACAATCAGAACAAAAGGAACACTTTGATGTTATTCAGACCTTCAGAAAAGCCAGGAAAGGTACAGGTCATTCCTGCTACAGTGCATCAAAGGTACCTGCTCTGCCTTGCAAGTGGCACTGCTGCCTTTGAACTCACCAGCTCAGGTATGAGAAGAGGTGAGCAGCACGACAGAGGAGTCAAAACAAGGCCCATCAGGCTCTCTGTGCTGATAACCATATCAAACAAGGGTCTGACAATGCTCATGTTAAAGCAACTGTGTAAAACAACAGACAAGCAGAACCTCGTATGGCTTCTGCCATATTGGTCACTTGCTAAAGCAGCAGGATCACACAAAGATTCTATACTTGTGGATTGTGAAACAATGAGAAAAGTGGGAGAAAGGCAGACTTCAGCTGCTTGCCTTTAACAGAACACTGTCACCCCTTGGCTAAAAAACACTCTCTTTATTAGTGAGGAACTGTAAAGTATTGGTCAATCGCTTCTGTGGGCTTCTCCAGCTGAATGTGTGTTTGTTCCTAGAGACAGCAAACAATTACTGTGGTGCAAAGGTCTACTAATGGCATTCCACTATCTTTTAACACGGAATCATAGAATAGTTAGGGTTGGAAAGGACCTTAAGATCCTTCAAAAGCTCAGACAAATTACCTTCACCCTGCTTCACAGAACCACAACATGACATGTTGCACACTGAAGAAATGTGCTGTTGTTAAATCATCTTTTAAAACGGGTTAAAAAGCAGGTCTTTTTTAACAAGATCACTGTAGGAAACAGCAAGGGAGAAGGTAAGTACAACTGGTTGAGTCCAGGAAGGAAGACTACAAATCCCAAATGCTCTTCCTTTTTCCTGAAAACAAAAGTTGACAAAGCTGTGTTTTAGCAGTATGATTTCAGTACTTTTGTTTGTTTGTTTCTCCTTTAGCCTTTGGAGAGATCTCTTTTTCCTATTTATATGCCATACAATTAGTTAAACCAGCATCAATTATGACAAGGTGCTATAGCCCAGGACTCACGCAGCCCACATTTTACACCATGTCCTGCCCAGATGTAGAAACAAAGCTGTTTCTTCTCCTCCTCCAAGCTCACCCCACAGGACCATAACACGATTTGGATTTCTAGCAACACCAGAGAAAATTCAGACTGCAGCTCAAGTATTATCTTTAAATCGCCTTGAACCACTTTCTGCCATTATTTATAATGTAAAAACCAAAAATATGAGATGAAACCACTGGACAGCCTCCTTTTAGAAAGCCTTTTCTCAAAGTTGAGTTTTGTACAGAATAGGCATTGACTTGCATATTTTCTCATAGCCCATTAAGAGAAGTTTCAAATCAAGCTTTAAAACGTGTTATTAACCATCTACCCAGCCATTTGAAAGATACATGCCTGTGATAAGAGTATTGTATTGCCATTAACCTGTGGGATGGTTCGAGACATCTCTTCTTCACACAAAACTCTAAACGCATCTCATTAAAGCCACGAGATCAACTGTCCATATTAATCACTCACCAGTTTAATTAAGGTAAACCAGCTTGTCACAAAGCCACTCTTCTCTCTATTCCTCACCATTATCGACTTTTAATAGTTCACTGCATTAGTAATTACTTGTTTAGGGCATTATCAAATACCTGAGAGAGAAAACCACAGTTTGTGCCCCAGAAACTGCTTTAGGCCAACTCTTGCTTGGGACATGAGTTAAAGTTTATCCCCTCAGGTGGTTTTCTAAAACGCCACACTGTGGTTTAGACACAAATACAACTCGGAACAGAAACAAACTGAGCTAGAAGCATCTTAACAAGAGATTCAGGGTTGCAAGCTTGTGGTTACTCCAATTACAGCAGGTAGTTGGGATGCTGAGCTAAGAAAAAGGAAGTTAGTGAGATTTCCTGCTCACTTGTGAAAATCATGCCAGTCACAGACTGTGCAAGAGTGGGCAGGCACACACACTGCCACTTCACAACAGCAAAGCTGCAAGTCCCACAGTTAAACAACATTTCCTCCAGGATTAATTCCTTCCCTAAGTAATGAGGGTATAGATATGCAAGGGAAAAAAAACTCTTCTCGCTACTGATGCTCACCTTGGGAACAAACCCCAGAACATTGCAACATATGACAACCCTCTGGGAGCTACTGGCAACCCTGCCTGGCAAACTGCTGGCCTCCTCTGAAGCCTTCAGCGTTTCCTTGAACATTCCCTACTTGCTTCCAACTCAGCTGCTGAAGTCATGGTGATCACAGACAACACTGGTGATTGTGGGTTGTTACAGAATGCAGTGACATACAACGTACCCAAAATTAGGGAGAGGAGGGAGCAGGCGAGCAAATGAAGAAAGGGATTATGTATATTCCTAATTCTTAGGCGTACCTGCTGCCATCAATGATGAACATTTGTTCTGGGAAGAGCTGCTACCAGTGGAACGCTTAGCATATGAACACTAACCTAATTCCTGTTGGGAATAAACCAATTTCCACTCTTTCCTTTACTAGAGGAGTATTTCAACCTAATAATAAAATATCCACTGTAGCATGTCAGACCAGCAGCTCTCTGGTAGCAGGCTGGAATTTTAAGTCTTAATGCTGCAATATCAGCTGTAATGAATTCTACGTAAACATGACTTGTAAAAATAAAAAAAGCCTTTTTCTTCCCTTAAAACCATGTATGAAGGAGAGTTTAAAAGGAAAGGAAACAAGAGTGGAGCCTCTCACTGCTGGCAGGAATGAGGATCCGCTGACACAGTTTCACTATTCCCAGCCAGTGCAACCCAGGTGACAGTATTTCCCCTGCATTACTCAGCTCAGCTTCACATTACTATTTACCATGAGCCACCACAATAAAAATTATAACTGCTTATAAAACAAGTGAAGAAGATGAGAAAAGGCAAAATGGGATGAACAGACACAACAGAGTTAAACTGTGAATTGCCATAAAATTCCACCAGCCCCACACAGTGAACTCCACTGAATACCAAGACCTGGACAGGAAAATTGGTTTTCCACAGGAAAAACAGATTCATTAAAGAGTTTCTTTATGATAATCTGTAACAAAATGGTGAAGCTGCTTATTCCATTATTGGTAACTTGTGCACATTCATCAGCTCTCCTTCATTTTTACTTGATTTCCCACTGAAATACACAGGAGTTGGTTTCCAATGTCCTCCTTTATCTGGATGTTTGCTAAACCCTAAGCAGTATTCAAAATAAACTGATCATTAACAAATGTTACTTAGAAAAATGAAAGTCATACTAAAAAAAACTCTGGATCTAAACGCAAATACAAGGAAAAAAGCCCCCACTGAAGTGTACACGTACTCTCTGCGATAAGCATAATGCCCAGAGGTCAGAGCTCCTGGGCAACCTCAGCTCCAACAACCAGACACATTGCTACTGATTACTCCTAAAGAACCAGGTCCCTTTCAATGTTTTATATTTGTACGTCCACACACACAAAGTGCTGCCCAGTTATGACCCATCTGAGAGAAAACACACTCACTGCATTGTCAGCACTCGATTGTAACGCACTCTACCCTCTCTGGGTGCAATGTTCAGCTTCAGTTTAGCACAGTGACAAATAAAGGAAAGCCCTTCATGAAACCAATTTAATTGGGAGGTGACAGGAACCATACAGCAGTTTTCTTTAGCCTTATCATTGAACCGGCTTCAGCTCCCATCTCTGCCAAATCCCACTCAACTGAAGACATTAACCAGGTCAGCGGCACAGGTGCCGCACGCTGTCTGGCAAGGGACTGGCATCCCCACAATTACTTGCACACAATGAAGCAGTAATCTTTCCAGATCATCTCTCCCAAGAAGCATACTGGGGATGGGAGGAGAGAAAAACAGTGGAAGAGAAGGGAGGGTGGGGTATAAAAAAACCCCAACAAGCAAGAAAGGAAAATGAATGTGTGGCTGCCTCACGGCTCAGCAGATGTCTGTGCGTGATGTACGAGGCTCGGATAAGCTGTCGTAGCCCGCTGCCAAAGAGTGGTAAGTGATTAAAGCCTCCACCAGCCTAAGCACCATATTTAGAGTCCATGGGGTGTTGAAGGTTGCACCCATTCCTTGCTGTGCTGCCAGATGTTGTTGGCTGGTCCTGCTCCCAGTCGCTGTGCGCGGGAGGCAGCAGTTGGTACAGCAAGGAATGCAATCTGGAACGCTTCCGGAGGTGCTGTACATTAAACCAGTGTCACCCATCCTTCACCTCTGCCGAATGCTGAAACAACTCCAATTTGCTGCCACTTCCCTCTTGGGAAATGGCCAAGATACAGTTGTGCCTGGCAGCCCCATTTGTTTTACTCAGGTGATTCTCTTCCCTCAATGACCTCTATTAGTTTAAGTTTTAATTTAGATTAACCCCAGCACCCCAATTAACCAGTGAGGGGAAAAGCTAAGCTGGGACTACTCATATTTCTGAAATCACGATGCATCGAAGTTGAAGTTATTAGAAGGGAAGATGGGCCATTCATCTCTTGCTGCTTTTCTTTTACAAATGTAACATTTCATGGCCAACAAGCACCTCCCCTGCACAGGTCCACAGGCTGTCAATCGCAGCTATTTCTCCTTGACCACTTCACAGTTTTGTTAAACAAACTTCATTTATTCAGTGTTCTTATGGTGGCCCCCAAAGCTGGGCTTCTGGGTCCACCTGGACCCCAAATTCCACCTCAGTATTATCTCCCTGCCTTACAGATTTGGCCTCTTCAACCACTGATGACCACAAGAGGAGCACTCAGAGCCTTCACAGATGAACCCAGCACCTTCACCTGCCCAAGAGATGTTCCTCAATTGACAGCAGTGCCTGCAGAGATGCTCCTACAGTAAATACACAGCCTGGAGAAGAGCTTGCTCAGTACAGAGTCCTGACTCTGAGGCAGGCTGCCTTGAGTACATCCCTCACAAACATTAAGTATTCACATGATCCTAATTCTGCACTAGGTGAGATCTACTGCAAATATTTGTCTTGGACAGTAGGGTTGGAAGTGTGTTGAAAAACTTTGTTGGAAGGGCAAAAAAACAGCAGCATCAGAGTTCCCTGTATTTCCCTTCTGTAAAACACAGGTAAGAATTGGCAATTTAATAAATCCTTTATTCGCCTTTAGTCCTGGCTCTGTACACGAAACCTCAAATTTTAGAACTATCCAAATGCTTCTGGTTAAATCAGTTAACAGAGCACAGGCATGTGGCAACAGCTCTCTTCCACTGTTCTAACACTTTCCTAGCCACTCTAATGCTATTCAGATCAGAAAATTCAGCCTTCCTAATGTGATAATGGTACTTGTTTAGTCCTGAAGTTAAAGCTCTCTGTGGATCATCAGAATAAAATTGGGTTTTGTGCAGTGGGGAAGGACTTATAGTGAATCAGACTCCTCAATATATGGCCATTTCCGTAATGCATAAAGCCGGCACTCTCATTTCTTAAATGAAGCACAAACATGAGGTTTCCCTAAGCTGCAGCCTCCATGCACTGGGTGCACATTCCTTGTGTCTAGGAATTTTGCAAATAAAAAGAGTAACTGGCCTAAACCCAAGCTGGCACAATACCAAGAAAAGTCCTTGCAGCTTCTTCATTCAGTAGGTAGATGATTTAGGTTGAGTTGAGAGTAACTCAGGTGCTCTTGAGGATCTACCAGACTCGTTTTTCATAATGGGACTCTACCCGCAGAGAACAGTCACCTTTAGAGACTTCAGTCATTTTTCTCTGGTATAGCAACATTCACCAGCAAGAACAGAGATAGACCTTATCCTGTGGCCCTGACTCACTCAAGTACAGCAGTAAGTTTCCATCCACAGTGCAACCTTAAGCTCATGCAGCCATATATCAAAAATTGTGAGTGAGGTCCTCTGAGGTACCTACAGAGATTCCAGATGTTAAAAGAGTAACTGAGTTTCACTGGTAAGAGAAATGTAGAGCACAGAACCAACCACATTAGCTCTGTAAGTATTAAAAACCAATTGGAGCCATAATTTCAACACAGATTTACCATCACCTACCTGGTGATAAAAGTCATCGTCATCAAATATCTCCTCATCTATGTCCTTCAGGTGCCTGTTGGACTCTGACTCAGGAAGGACTTCCTAGAAGCACAAAGGAAATACTGAAAGCTCAAGTGTGTGTAATTCTGTCCCTAACTCTGATGACATCACGTGCAGCAGCTTGTAAACACACTTGAAGACAGGAAGGCATGCAGAAAACCTCCCAACATAACAAGCTGTTAAGGACTAGGAATACATTTAAAGGCAAAGCAGAAATGCTGCCAGTGCCAAAACAGATTTATGAGACCTTTACTGGGAAATAAATAGGACTGTGCAAAGTCTTTCTGGCAAAATACTACAGATATTTTTAATGTAATGGCAAAAATACATCTTGCAAGTGCAGTAATTCTGCATGATCTCTCAGAATCGAGTATTTATTCATTCTTAAATACTAAATTAATAACAAGCTTACTACTAATATATTCTGCAGGTTATATGCAGTGTGACTTCAGAAGTGACTTTCTAGGTTAAAGATTCTAAACTCCAGAGTAAAACCAGCTCTGTAGCCACTACCTGAAAAAGCAGATTTAGTGACAGCATCATCACTTCAAAGAGCACAGAAAGAGCACAATCACAGACAAAACCTCGTTTTCCCCTGTCCAGAACTGGCACAGGAGATAACACAAACACCATAAAACTGGAATGGAAATGTCGACATCTTCTTCTTAGCCATTACATTAAAGGAATCAACACTTGGGTATCTCCTCCATAAATCTCACACAAACAAGAATATCACCTGCTAAAGGCTTGAGCTAATTGTTTTGCAGAGTTTCTCTGCTGCTACAGGGTGAGTTATAGAAAGAAAAAGCCCTTACCGAATTTTCAGGCAAAGACTCAGGGATGGGATGAGATTCCCGTTCCTGCTTCCCCAGCACTGTATACACGGATCGCTTGGTCTGTGTCCGCCGTAGTAATCTCTCTTTGTCCATCATAATATGATCAATCTGAGTCAAGATTGAACGCTCAAAGGCACCGAAACCCTGCAATAACATTAACTAGTGTCAGATAATGCAGAAAGCTTTTCCTCAAGGCAGCAGTGTTCCTCTATCTTTCCATGTCAGTGGATAAGCAGACAGCATTCCAAGAGGAGGGGGCCTGGGTTTCGTTGCAGGGATTTCTGCTAGGATATTTTATTTGTTCTCTCTCTCTCTCTCTTTCCCTTCCCAACCTGAGGCAACCTGACGCCTGGCTTAACAAAATGCCTTTGCTGTTCTGGTTCAGATTAACTTCTCAATGATTAATACTGACTCACAGATGTTAGCAGACCCTGGATCTCCGGGTGAAATGATTACCCACTGCATTAAAGTGTACACTTCATGGAGAAGGAGAGCCACAAAAGTCCCTAGTTCTGTTATAAAACACAAACAGCTTGCTGCTAAGCACTAGTGGCATTTTCACAGGGCTTACTTGCTGCTGAAAACTGGCTATGATGAGACTGGCTACTGGGAGAACACCAACATTATCCAAGAATTTTTCCCAAAACCTGGGAAACCATTTGCCCCTGAAAATGTTTTCTACCCATCTGCTCAAAACAAAGGAGAAGAGCTTATGCCTTTGACATCTGAGGGTTGAGTTTCTTTCAGACTCCTGTAAGGCTGGGGAAGAGAGCATACTTGTGTATTTAATTCTTACTGCTGTAACTCTCAGCTTAATTTGGAACATCCATGATACAGAATTTCCACATCAGCTTGTTCCCCAAATCTCTGCTGAACAGTAAGCATGTGAGCACACATTAACAAACACTTGCCTTTCCCACTTTGCCAGATGCCAGCTTTGTCTTCTCATGCCACTTCTGCAGGACACTGTTCCGATAGGTCCTGAAGTCAGCATAGCGCTTGGCTATGAAGTCTGGGTACTCCTCCAGCTTCAGCTTTCGCTTGGGGAGGCTCCTCCTCTTCTCCTGAGCCTTATCCACTTGCTCTTCATCACTACTGCTAGGGATTTCATCATCACTGGAACAAAACCACACAGATTAACCACCCTACACCTCTCTAAGGAAACGTGAATTCTTAACAGCCCCTTCACTACCACCCATGCTCCTTCCACACCATGGTGAAATTTGTGGCAAAAGACCCAAGTTTTAGCTCTTTCTGTTATCAGCAAGATTACAAACCAGATGTTTGTTCAGAGTAGAGCAGCAACTGAGAGCTGAGAGAACAGCAGAGAGGGAGGATGGGATGGTCAGGAAGGTTCTGCATCGCCCTGTTTATTGAAGACCAAAAAGATTCCAAAAGGTCCTGTCTTGTTTTGTGGTTACCTCTCAGTTTTGGATTGTTTTCCATCTACCAGATGCCTCGTGCCTGGGTATTGATAAAGCAGCTCATCCTGAAGCTCCACTAGTACTTTCATCAATGCCTCCAGGGCTTTACAACCTGCAGAAGAAGAGACACAAGTGACCATTTCCCACTGGTGAACACTTAGGTTTGCTGCGCTTAGCTTCTCATCGTGAATGTGAATTTCTGCCACAGTTACTGCCTGTCCCATTAACTGTTTTTCTCTTAAAGATGTGTTTTTATCTTCAAACTGATTTATAGCTGTTAATGTCAACCACCACCACACTGGGAAAAAAAAGGGAGGCAAGGAGGCAGGACTGCCTCTTAAGCATCCACCTGGCTGCACACTGGGAATATACTGAGCTAGCGTTTCATCCACAAACATTCCAAACTGTAGCGCCTGAAGGATTAACATACTAAAGAAGCAAGTACTATGTGTAGAAGTGTCTGATAACACACACATATGACAACAACCTTTCTTGCTGACTCACCCATTTCTCTCCTCTGTGAAGCTCTGAAGCAGATGCCAGCTTCTGAATAGTATAAAGCAACACAAGGGAAAACGTGTATGTGTACATCTCATCTAAACCTGACCTCTGACCTTCCTTTCTTGTATATAATGTGTATGTTATAGGGAGCAGGAGGAAGGCAAGAAGAAAAACCAAACTCCTGCAGGGCTGTGACTACCACTGGTTTCTGTTCCACTGTGCTCACCACACAGGAAGTGTAAGAAATTAGATTGTAAGTAAAATTAAACGTAGCAAGATCTGATCTATGGGAGACACTTAAACAATGACCTGGCAAGTTTAATGAGGAGATTCTGATCAAAAAAGAAGAACTGCAGGCTCAGAGAGCCTTAGAAAGAAAGTGAAGAAAAGACTCGGGTGGAGAGGTGTATAAAATGATTAATATGTGGTGGGAAGTTTAGTTTTACAGGGATGAGTAGCTGCTTTCCAGGGTGTTTGCAGACACAAATGCTGAATGTAGATCTGATGCTGTGTATCCAGAGGCTTTGACAATTTCCCCCTATGCAAATGCAGAGAAAACGGTCTCTGTCCAATGATCTTATGCTCTCCAAGGACACACAGTTGCAGCTGACTGTGGGAGGGGTTAACTGCACACTGCTGCAGCATCTGCTCTTTAAAAACAGTTCTTCTGTGGTGACCAACAAGCCTCCCTGCAGCACGCTCTGATATAAAACAAGTGTTTGTCTGGGCCTACACAAACTCTCCCTTTGTACATTGCTATACATCAATCACAGCTCAGCTCTTACAGGTAAAACACTTGGCACACTTCTATCCAAAAACCTAGGCTGAACTGCATACAGATTCATTTCTATTTACCTGCCTCTGGTGCACTACCTTCTACTTTTACAAAGAAGCACTACAGGAAGGGGAAAACAGGCCCTGCCTGGGGGAAGGTAGCAGCACATGGCTTCAGGATCTGTTTTCTTGCAAGACAGTGAGTGGAGCTGCTCTGCTTAACCCCCAAATCTGTTTCTTTCTTTGTAGTTACCATAAAAGAATGGAGAGAACTTCTCACCACTCAACTCTATTTCTTTTTTATAACAGAGGAGCCAGAGATCATGGGCAGAGTGAGCAGCAAATCTCCATCAGCTAGACAGAGACACTGCAAGCAGAAATCAGCCCAGACATTCAGAGGTCTCAATCTCCCACATGTTACCACTGTGATATTGCTCAGTTGTCACCATCTTCAGATAGATTACAGCCTGACCTCAGTAACAGGAATGTCAAGGAGAAGATGCTTTAAGATTTTTGTTGTAGATCAGTTGTTGGACTCATCCTTCCCTGGCTCACAGTTCACTACAGACACGTTCTGCCCCCTTCTCTATGTAAACCTATTAATGGATTAGGTTTGCTGTACTTGTAAGAATCATGTGTTAGCATCAAAACAAATCCAAGAGACAGACAAAAGCCCCTTAAAAATGCATGTATTGTATGTGCCTGCAGCTAAAAGATCCCTTGAAAAAGGAAAGTGCCCCTAGCCCAGCCTCAGAGCTCAGCTTGCAGCAGCAAAATCTTCCCAACTGCAACACAGATGAATGTCTCCAGAGCTTCCCAAACTGTTTATTTTCTCCCTGTTGCCTACCCTCCAGCAGCTAAAGCACCCCAGGCAGCTTTGATCCTGTCAATTACAACCGGAGTAGCACTTCAGCTCGTCTGGGCCATGGTCAGCAGGCAAGGAATAATCTGCACTATAATGTGCTGGGGTAAATATTCTACCTTAGATAGACATCATTGTCAGAACTGACACCTTTAGCACTGGGCTGTATATCACCAGCAAGAAACACCTCCGGAGTGTCTGTGGCGAGACACTAAGTTGTAAAAGTCACTTTTAAGAGTCCATGGGAGCCCCTTCACTTTGTGTTCAGGAGTGAAAAAGTTGTTCCAGGTCCACCAGACAGCATATCAATCCACCAAGAAAGCTGGGAGCCAGCACCAGTAAATCAAAGTGTGCCTTTCTGTTAATACTCTCTCATATGTTCTCATTTTATACATCCCTTCACCCAGTCAGAAAGTAGCCCTGGAGTATTTAGCTCCATTCAGGGATAGCACTGCCATGTATCAAAGTGTCAGGAGACCCACACAGAGATGAAATCTGTCCTACTGCTCTCAACCCACAAAAATCAATTTTGTCAATGCCAGTGCTTACAGACAAACTGTCTGTGCTGCTGGCATCCCCTTGTATGTGCACATACATGTGGAGTGGCTCCTGGTACCATCCCCACCAGCCTCCTCCCTTCCTCCTGTGCCTCCACTGTCACTGAAGCCTGAGCACCGCCACACTGGGGACTTGCAGGGAACATAGCCCTTGTGCTCACCCATCACTGTAGGTTCTGCCTTGCTGTAGAAATGCTGCTTCCTGCACAGAAAAATAGCTGCGCTCTTATTCCTGACCTCTAAAAATGGGGTCTCATTTCATCTTCCCAAGCAGCTGTGGAGAGCAGCAGCTGGTGCAGAGCAGCAGGGACTGGCCTCATGTGGAGACACTTTACGTTGATGGAAAAAAGCCTGTGCCCTCAAGGCCAGGCTGTCAAAGGTATTCACAGAGAGCCAAACAGTGGGATTCCCAAAACTGCTCCACCCAGAAAAGCTCCTTGGTGCATCCAGCCAGCAGATTTGGGGTAAGACAGGGAGGGAATCCTAAAAACTGGGGCAAAACTCCCTGAATTTTTAATTCCATGGCTGCATGTTGCTGGCACCTAACGGGGTGTGATGGGGTGGCAGTGCTCCCCTGCAGAACAGTCTCTGCTTGCTACTGTGTACACACTATCTGCAAACAGAAACAGGAGCATCCTTACTGTGATGTACCAGCAGGAAACACCACACACCCAGGCCACAGCTGAAATTCAGAGCCCATGCCAAAGCTGGGAATTAAATTACTTCCCCCCCACCTCAATTAAATCTGAGGCTCTGGCATCACAGGAATAGCATCACATGCCAGCTTTTAATTTTCTGTGTATCTCCACAGGCTGTATGAAGTGCTCACACAGGAAAACTGGAACACGGCTGGTGTTTGAACCACAGTTTGCAGAGCAAAGCCAAGCTGCCAAATATTGTGCGAGTTCCTTGTGCCACTACCATGGGGAGTCACCAAGTCACCGCTGCCCAGGGCAGGCGCAGTGCCCCACTCAGATAAAAAGGAGAGGAATCAAACCTCTTCTACTTTAATATCTGCACATAATGAAAAGCATCTTTATCAGGTACACCCATTTATCCCAGCGTTCAGCTGAAGAGGGGGAATTTTCACTCCTTTCAAACGACTGCGGGACAGGAGTTAAACTACAGGTCACAATGGCACTCGATATGCTGGCCTGAGAACAATACTTCTCATTCAAATCCACAAGCCAGCCACTTGCACTAGTCATCCCCAGCAATTAATCCCCCCCGAAACACGTTTGATTAAATCTTTTCAAGCAAATCCTTTGCTTTGCTTTTGTTAGTTCACTTCTTGTCAACATCTATTAAAATATGCCTTTAATTCTCCCACAATCTTAAAAAACACCGATTCCACTGTCTTCAACTTTAATCAACTGTATGGCCGGCATTTTTCATTTCATAATAATGTGCTGTTTGGAATTCAAGAGGCAGGCTCAACATCAATCATTCGGCAAGAATTTTTCCACTGCAATAAATATGCAAATGAGGAGAGGCAGTCAGTCGTATTTCAGGCCCGACTTGCCAGTGTTTTAAAAAAGACACAAATTTATTAATTGCCGTTGGCCAGCGGAATCCTATTACTTTGGGCATTGATTACAAAGCTGTGTGAGTGATTATTGTGCAACTCGCAGGCTATCCAGGCATGAGGAAAAATTATTAAAGCAAGGCAGAGATTATCAACTCGGAATAACAATAAGCCTTAACATTTTAGGCCTCTAACTTCTTCAACAAAGAATTACGCCACAGCTCCAGTGTATCATAATTCTGAAGTCTGTCGGTATTACTTTTGGAGCTTGCTCTATATTCCCAACAGCAGAGCAACATTACCCAGCTAGCAAAAGGCGGGGAGAATTCCTCCAGGTATCACATCTTAAGCGTGGGGCTTTGGACAACAGCTTCCCTAGCATTCCCGCTGTGTTAACTCACTGTAGGAGGAACAACGCGGTGCAGGCAGGACTTCACTATCTTCAGTTTTGCACCGCTGTACATCCTGGTGCCAAAAGGCTACTGATAAGTCTAAGACAGAAGCCACAAGAGCCAGCATAGACTAAATTATAGGCTGGGTGCAAGCCCTTTGGCAGTGGAGAGTGGATTCTTTTAGAGGTGGTGGTGAGTTAAACACATGTATCCAGAGACTTGAGCTGAATCCTAGCACAAAGTACTTGTAAATCTGTCCAGATTATTTGGGACAATTGGAGTAACATTCCCTTCATGCTTCCCAAAACATGAGTTTGTGAAATTTTATCAAATGATAGGAGGAAAAAGGCCAACTTTTCTGCTGATTGCAATAAAAAAGGTCTGCTCCAAACCGAAGGCCCAATTTGCTGGTTCCATTGGAATGCAAATGATGCAAAAGCCTTTGCAGAGGGGAAAATTGTATTCCTTCAGCACAAAGGAGCCAATGCTGCAAACCCCTTT